AAGTCCCATTTCTTTGAAAATGCGTCTACAAACAGGGCTTCTCTCTGTGGTGATCTGGAGCAGAACTTTTTCACTTTCGCATTCTTGAGGGTTGCCATGAGGTCTATTTGGGGAATCCCCCATATCTCTGTTATCCTCTGGAATACTTTCTGATTCAGGGCCCATTCTCCTGGATGAATCTGAATACAGAAGCAGATTTTCTCAGCAGAAGTCAGTTTCCCTGGAATGTGTATAGCTGTAAGGTTGGTCAGATGAATTTCTGCCCAGTAAAGGATTTTTAGAGTGATGTAGAGTAGTGAAGCACTCCTTGTTCCTCTCTGTTTGCTGATGTATCTGACTACTGACGAGTTGTCTGATACAATTTTGACCGGTTTCCCCGAAATTTGTTTTTGAAAAGCTAGAATAGCTTTCCATACAGCCATCAATTCTCTCTTGTTGGAAGACCAATTCTTTGCCTGATGAGTCCAACTTCCCTGGGCAAGAACTCCATTTAGATGCGCTCCCCACCCTGTGGCACTTGCATCTGTTGTAATCTTTATCCAATTTGGTTCTTTCAAGTTTACAGCTTGTCTGAGATTGGAGGGGTGCTCCCACCAAGATAGATCTTCCATAGTGTTCACACTCAAAGTTATAGTTTGAAGAGAGTTGTCGATCTTGTTCCATTGGGATAGGAAGTCTTGTTGTAGTACCCTTGTATGTCCCATGGCCCACTTGACTGCATCCATTGTGGAAACAAGCTTCCCTATCATCTGTTGACACTGTTTTATGGATTTGCAGTTGTCCGTCCGGAACTTCTTGATTGTTTCCGTGATGGATATAATTTTCTGTCTGGGAAGAGATATGATTTCCTTCTTTGAATTGAAAATTACTCCTAGATAGTTCAGAATCTGAGTAGGGATAAGATTGGATTTTTGTGGATTTATTAGCCAACCGTGTGCTTGTAATGTCTTCAGTACAAACTGAATGTGTACTATTAGAGCTGTAGGACTTTGACTTTTCACTAGGATGTCATCTAGATAAGAGTAAATTTGGATGCCTTGAAGTCTCAGGTAAGCGATCACAGGTGCTAAAACTTTTGTGAAAGTTCTGGGAGCGGTTGACAGTCCGAAAGGAAGGGCTCTGAATTGGAAATGTTGGTTGAGGATGAAGAATCTGAGAAATTTCTGGTGTTTCTCGGTGATAGGTATATGTAGATAGGCATCTGTTAAATCTATCTTCACCATCCAGTCTCCTTGTTGAATCTCCAGTGCAATGGTTCTGATGGATTCCATCCGTAAGGTCTGGACATTGAGAATTTCTTTTATCATACGAAGGTCTAGGATAGGCCTGCATTCCCCTGAAGTCTTTTTCTTCAAGAAGAGTATAGAGTAGATTCCTTTGAAATGTTGAATTTTTTCTACTCTTTGAATGATTTGATTGTTTAGCAATTTCTTCAAGATCTTTCTTAATTGTGTCTTGATTTTGGGATCTTTTGGTGAATTTGATTTTATGAAAAAATCTTTCTTTGGTTGAAATTTGAATTCCAGTGAGTATCCTTTTGAGATGATATTCTTTACCCATTTGTCTGATGTGGTCATGGCCCAAACCTCTTGGAACTTTGATAACCTTCCTCCTACCAACGATGGCAGGGCCAGCGTACCTTCATGCTTGTTTTTTTGTTATCTTTGTCTTCTCTTTTGAAAGGACGAAAGGAATTGGGTTTCTTCCATGGTGGCTGATTGTAATTTCTTTTGCCTGGTCGATAAGATTTGGCTTCCTGGAACGATTGTTTATCCCTGGGGTTCCAGAGATTTCTTTTCCCTCTTCTGTCTTGGGGGAGAAATGAGCTTTTCCCAGCTGAGGCTTTGGAAATGATGTCGTCGAGTTTAGACCCAAATAACAACTGACCCTGAAAGGGAAGTTTACACAGGTTGTGTTTGGATGTATTGTCAGCTTGCCAGTGTTTCAGCCAAAGGGATCTTCTAGTCGCCACTGCTAACCCCATATTCTTGGCTGAACATCTGATGGCATCCAAAGATGCTTCGGCTATGTAGTCTGTAGCCAATTTTACTATTTGTAAGTCTTCCAGGATTTGATCTCTACTGACGCGATTGGTCAAGGCGTCTTCCAGGTTGTGTAACCAAAGCTTCATGGCTCTAGCAACCGAGGTAATAGCTACCGCTGGTTTACATATAGATCCTGCAACCGTAGCCTTTTTTAAGGTGTTATCTTGTTTTCTCTCCATCACATCTCTGAGAGAAATGCCTTCATCGACTGGGAGAGTGGTTTTGCGAGCTACTCTAGTTATTGCTGCGTCTACCTTAGGAGGTTCTTCCCAGTCCTTAGTTTCTTCGGTATCAAAAGGGTACATCTTATTCATCTTTTTGGTTACAAAGAACTTCTGATCTGGTTGTTCCCATTCTGTCTTGATTTCTTCCTTAATTACCTTGTGAATGGGTAACAAATGATTTGCCTTCTTTCGATATTTGAACATTTTGTCATGGTTGGTGGAGGACCCATCTTCGGAGTCCAATTCTAAGATTTTTCTAAGGGCCAATATCAGTGGTTCAACTTTCTCTAAATCAAAGTTAGATTCTGAGCCTTTATCCGAATACACGTCAGTTAGGCTATCCCCTGATAGGTATTCTCCGGATTCATCCGAATCAGATGGGAAAGTAGGAATTTTAGAGGTTTTAACTGGAGCGCTGAGTGACAGTTTTGACAGCTTTCTCCGTGCCTTTGGAAATGGCAGATGCCATAGAGTCTACAAAAGATGTCTGCATCCAATTCATGAGATGGGAGATTTGGTCTGAAGTACTGGGACCAGCTGCATTGGATAAGCAGTCACTGCAGAGTCTTTTGTGTTCCAAGGCATAGTGACTGCACGCTTCACATTGTCTCTTAGTGATTTTCCTTCTGTGCTCCTCCTGGTCACAGTCATCTCTAGAGTCCCTAATAAAGATACGGACATATTAAGCCTCCAAAGTAAAAGAGCAAAATGTATATATGCAAAATTACATGCATAAACAAAAATACTGAAAAATGCCTGTTACAGCACAACTCACCCCCTGTGAGTAGAATGTGACCTTCTATGGGAACTCATAGCTGTAAAGAAAAATGGTCAGTTAGGGAAGGTAGAACACAAGGTTAGTCTGTCTACATAAGCAGACAGAAGTTCCAGCACTTACTGTGAGGCTAGTCGGAGAAAGATAGTGGGCAGAGCATAGCAGGAACACTGAAGCAGCGTCAACAAGTTCGCACTGAGGGTTTAAATGGTTTCCGCAAGTGAAAACCCGAACTTCCGGTTGCGCGTCATGCGTTCCAGCGTGACCCGCATCGCCATTTTAACTCACCGTTCAGTTCAGGCGCAGCATTTTTCTTTACAAGTTCCCGGTCCCAGTAAAACATGCCTCAGAAGGACTTACAGCCTGTGGGTGTCAAGCACCACATGCCCAGGTCACCAAGGGCTCCTGGGAACGGTTGGAATCAGCGTTTCACCAGGACTTCAGCAGAAGGAGGCAGGCTGCTGGCGGTACATGTAGATAATTCCTCACTTCCTCACTTCAACAGGATAAAAAAAGACGATGTGGGAGTCTTGGCGAGGGGAGTTTTATTTGCTTGCTACTTCCTGTCCTCACGTGTCAACGGGTGTTAACCCTTGAGTGACCACTGCCATGTGAGGATCAGGAAAGACAAGGCAGTTGAAAATGACAGTTGGAAATAATGGCAGTTGCAAATGGCAGTTAGAAATGGCAGTTGGAAATGAAATAATGGCAGTTGAAAATGGCAGTTGGAAATAATGGCAATTGGAAATGGCAGTTAGAAATGTCAGTTGGAAAAAATGTCAGTTGGAAATGTCAGTTAGAAATGTCAGTTGGAAATGACAGTTGGAAATAATGGCAGTTGGAAATGGCAGTTGGAAATAATGGCAGTTGAAAATGGCAGTTGGAAATAATGGCAGTTGGAAATGGCAGTT